ATTTAACAGACACTTGTTATCAAATGCTGAATTTATCCACTGCTGACAATGAACTCTCAAGGTTGCAGGACAACAGTTTAACTTTTGTGAAAGAAAAAAAAGATTCTGGTTTGACCAACCAGTGATCAGACAATACATTTGGTTGTTAATATAGTAAATCATGAGATGCTTTCTGCTTGATTGGTGCAGCACAAGTGATTTACTGTATGAAGGAAATTCTCTTTTGTGATGATATTTTGAACATGCATCTCTGTTGTCCTGTCAGCTTAGTGGTTTATGAGCTGATATGCAAATGGATTGATTGTTACTAGATCAGGGAAAGATGACTGGATTATAAAACAAGTGAATAAGATGTAGCAGAGGGTTGAGTTTCCTGTTTCTGATGTGTGGGTGAAGCTTGCACCCAGATACACACCTCTGAGTACACAAGAACAAACTTGTTTTGTGAAATACATGACGACATGTTACACGTTTACTTTTGGAGAAAAGCTAAATGAAATGATTGGGTCTGTGAAAATGAAAAATAAGTGCAAAAGCACAGACCTGGGGAAGAAGTTCACGTTCCAGTGATAAAACATTGAAGTGTTTAGTAAGTGTTTAATGGTGAACATTAGTGTTGTGTGAACTGAGCAGCTGCTAATAAAAAGGGGGGAGTTTCTCTGTGTGTTTAGCAGGTGGATCTATGGTGGTTGGTCCCAGACTTTCCAGGATTGTGTGATATTCTGGAGCACTTGTGGGCAACCAGTAAATATGATGTGGGGAACATGAACAGAGGCAGTGATGCTTAAGTCTGATTTCAGACCACGTAAGCATCAGTTATTAATTAAAGCCAGAAGCAGTGACTGCAGCTCTGCATGGCAGGTTCCAACCCCCACAGCATGAAAGTGAGACATATCTGTGATTTTATTCTGGTTTGGTTTCAGTACCCGGCTGATTCTGCCAGTTAGGTTTGGGTTGTTTTCTTTTTCTAGACTTGGGTTTGTTTGGTTTTTTTACACTTAGACATGTCCGGCCTAATATGTTGTTTGTTTGTTTTTTGTAATGGTGCACTTAGAAAAAACCTGCCAGGTATCATCCCTCTGGGGTGATATTTTGTGTGTTGATGATTTAAAAGCAGGCCTGCAAGATTGGGAGTAAAAGCGCTATAAAATACTTTAATTGAGAGCAAATACAAGGTGAGCTTCTCCAGATCACAATGGGCTTCTGAGGAAATGCACCTACCGAGGACGCTGACCATATCAGCAATAAGAATTGTTTTTATTTTGGAAGGACGTAATATTGCTGTCAGTGGAAGTTAAATTCATGCAGTTTTCCACTATCAGCAGAGATCGGTATGAATGCATATGAATGAACTGATGATGGACTGATGATGTGGAGTAAGTGTGACTGACGTGAAACAGAAGATGGTAACTATTTTAGGATTAGTCACTGCTAATGCCTGATCCACCCCAAACGGTGAACAAAGGGTGGATGTGTGTGTTTTTGTTTGCTTGTTTTTGCAGCAGCAGGTGGACGACAGAGACCAGAGGAGGAGAGACTGGAGGTCCACATGAGTGTGGGCGGGGCCTGCAGACTGGACCCTTTAGCTGCTACTTTTCTGTGTTACTGATTTAGTGTGGTTTTACTGGCTGCTTGTTGGTTATACTAACACACTGTACAGTGGGGAAATGTGTATTCATGTGAAACACATACTGTGTTAAAATGAGTATCACGTCTTCCACAGGAAAGGAGGGTTGACCACATGATTTACAGCAGCTCTGGAATCTGTTGATCCAGGCCGACCTGCGAGGACACTCCACTGCTAATGTTTTTCCTCTCAGGGTTTTAGCGTCTCACAGGAGGACACGAGTGAAAGGAAGCAGGTTGTGCAGTGATTACAGAACATCTTAGTGTGAGGCTCATTATTCTTAACCAACACAGAGCAGAGCAGCTATCTGAACGCTACCCCAACAGAGGTCGATTATCTTGTTAATAATTTCACCTCCTCACTACGTACGACTCTGGA